TTGCTGGGACTACAGGGATGTGCCACCAGGATGCTTTGTTTTTTTTTTTTTTTTTTTTTTTTTTTTTGTGGAGGGGGTTTGGGGTGTGTGTGTGGAAGGTGGTGGGTGTGTGGGATGCGTTTGTCTCACTGTGTTGTCCAGGCTGGTCTGGAACTCCTGGTATTAAGGATCCTGCCTAGATCCTCCCAAAGTGCTGGGATTGCAGATATGAGCCACTGCGCTCAGCCCTGCATGCTGTTTAAAAAAACAGATATAGGAAAGAGCTCTTAGAAAATTAAACGTATTTTGGCCAAAACAAAAAATTTGATAGAAGATAATGTAAAGGAAATCTGGAAAATGGAGTAAGAACAAAGAAATGGGCATTAGGAGAGAAAATAAAATAAAGTATTAATTAAAACTATCCAATATTTAGTTATTAAGTTCCAGAAAAAGAACAGAGGCCGGGTGCAGTGGCTCATGCCTTCCTGCCCACCAGCTAACTGAATGGACTCCCTCCTGGCTAAGGGGATATCCTAAAACAAAATTGTCTGCCATGAGGAGGGAGGTCAGACATGCCTCATCAAGCCCCCCTCCCTTTTTGGACATAAGCTTTGTAACTCATTGACAGGCCTAAGGTTACACAAGACAAAGGTTATGCAAGACAAAGGTTATGTAAGACAAATCTGCAGGTCCTCAATGTACACAACAAATATATGTAATAGCTTGTCTCTAACTTGAGGTCAGGAATTGAGGTCAGGAGACCAGCCTGAGCAAGAGCGAGACCTTGTCTCTACAGAAAATTGAAAAATTAGCCGGGCGTGGGGGCGCATGCCTGTAGTCCCAGCTACTCTAGGCCCAGCTAGTTGGGAGGCTGAGGCAGGAGGATTGCTGGAGTCCAGGAGTTTGAGGTTGCAGTCAGCTAAGATTATGTCACTATACTTTAGCCTGGGCAACAGAGTGAGACCCTGTCTTTAAAAAAGAAAAAAAAAAAAAAACTCTAAAAAATTTACTTTTTGCACATCCCTACTCAACGCTAATTTGGCACCTGTCAAATGGTGATACTGTATCATTTCTTTTTCAGTTATTACTTTGAATACTTTTGATAAGACACTATTCCTCATCTACTATTTCATGACCTAGTGGTACAGGTCGTACAGGAAAGACAATAAATGTATGATTGATGTGTCCCTCAAAATGGTATAAGCCAAGGAAGAAGATACTACTGGTTCTTGGAAACAGAATCCAACATGGGAGAATAGAGAGAGAAGCACCAGGATGGAAGCTATACACAGTCCAGTTTGCAATAGGTATATGAATGGTTCCAGGAGGAAGGTCTCTAGAATAAAAATTTTTGACCATGTGGACTAGAGTTTTAAGAGAGATTTTAGGGGTATAGCATGATCTAAATTTGGAGTTAGGCACATAAAAAGCAAATGAAACAAGTGAGTTTTGCAAATTAAATAGACTGTTCTCAGTAATTATGTTACTGAGCATTAGCATTAGTATTATTATGAGATTATTATGTGTGTAACATGATCTAAATTATGTGAATTAGTATAGGATATTCTACTTTATCCCTTAGTGCGTGAGAACTAAGATTCTTGGTGGACAAGAAAAGAGATACAGAAGTAATACAGAAGAGAGTAGGTAAAAAATGCTGTAATCCTGAATTTGAATCTGAAGTATTAGTATGAAGCATTTCATCTTTAAAAAATTTTTTAGCTCTGTCCACTGAAGAGGCTGGAAGCAATGACCAAATCTGTGGCATCTATAACATCCAGATTGTGGTTTTGAAATATCTTTTCCTACTAAAAGGAATGGCTAGTTGGAGAAATTGCTGATTCCATGTGGGGCAGGAAATGTGCAAGATAAGGCTAGAGTATTTTGTCATTCCTAATTGGAAGAAAGTTATCAAAGGCAACTTGGGTTATATCAAAAGGATTTGGGAGCCAACTTGAAGAATTCCCATTTATCAAAGATGGGACAATCTGAACTTTAAAAAAGATAAGTGCAATTGATTGAAAC